AGATCTTCGCGAAAATCATCCATATTTCGATACACCTTTATTCGCCATTGCACGTGAAAGTAATTTTCGAAAATTTTGTCAACTTCTTGTTGAAGCTCGTTATAATGTGAACGCAAAAGATCGTCTTGGACAAGATTCAAAAATGAGTCGATATAAACAAGGACAGTAAGTGTTGTTTCTTGGAAATTTATCCATCAATTGATCAATTTCTTATTCTAGTAAATTTCTTGGCTTGGTTACATATCTTGATTGGATTATGATAGTTGTGACAGTTTTTTCAGCAGTTAGTATGTCATTTGAAACACCTAGCAATCGAGTTGTGGATAAACCATTTTTACAAGTAGATAAACACTTGTTTTTGTTTCATTTATGTACTGTTTTTTGCTCATTTAGGTAGCTGAATACGTGTTCGTTATTTTTATGAGTGTTGAATTAACATTGAAAATTTTTGCACATGGTTTATTTTTTACACCAAAAGCATTAATTCGAGACATAGGCGGAGCGACAGATGTAGCAGTTTTTTTTGTTGGTCTTATTTTCCTCTGTTGGCTACCACGAAATGTGCCTGCAAATAGCGTTGCTCAATTTCTTATGCTTCTTCGATCGACACGACCTTTGCGAATTTTTATATTGGTGCCTGACATGAGAAAAGTAGTCTATGAAGTTTGTCGGGGATTTAAAGAAATTCTATTGGTAAGCATTGAATAATTACTTTTTTTGTTACATACTTTACTGTTACTTCTGTCCACCAGATGTTTTGATTGATTTATCTGGGCAAATAGAAGTCCTTCATAGTATGAGTATCCAATTTAGTTCCGTTTATCCAATCTCATGTTAACAGAATTCCTTGATTTACAAGTATTGTTAATTGCATAGTTGACTGGTTTTTCTACATCAGTGGAAAGGTGTTTCGAACTTAAGGCAATCTAAACAACAGTTCTAATTTCGAAATCATATTTTGAACTGCATAGAAATCTTTCTTTAACATGTAAGTTTAATTATTCAAAATACAGAAAAATTTCTAAAAATTTCAATTTACATGACTTGAATGATTTCTCTCCTAATTCTTTATTTTCTTCTTCATTCCATTGCTCGACTACCATATGATATTTTCAACACAACTGACTGATCGCATGCAATAAATCGATTTGTCTTGCATAGAAAAATCAAATCAATGGCATAGCTATCAGAAGATATTCTTTTGAGATTTCACTATTCTTTCGATGAGATATTTCTATCTCAAGTGTAAACCTTTTTCTTTGTTTAATTTCTAGGTATCCATTTTACTCGTTGTATTAATGTTTATTTTTGCTATTTTTGGTGTTCAAATTATTGGTGGACGATTAGCACGTTGTAATGATCGAGATTATTATAATAATCGAGTATGTTAAATTAGAATCTCTTTCAGTCTATGAATCAAACTAATTATTTCTAGACGTTATGTCATGGAACATTTATGAGAGAACTTTATGTATCGAAAATGAATGTTGGTGGAGCTGATCCCGTTATGTTAGTACCTCGCGTATGGTATGTTACTAAATTTTATTTATTTTCGCTTGCCAATAAACACTGTTTTTAGGGCTAATCCACAAAATTTTAATTTTGATTACATCGGTAGCGCAATGTTAGCTCTTTTTGAAGTTCTTTCATTGGAAGGGTGGCTTGAAATTCGTGATATTATCATGGATCGTATGGGCCCAGTAAGTAAACGTTTTTTTTTCTACTATTGTTTTATGTTAGCTTGATCTGAGAGAAAATTTATTTTAGCAACATGCTATATTTGTTCATATATTTGTTTTTATTGGTACATTAATTGGTTTAACTTTATTTGTCGGTGTCGTTATTGCCAATTATTCAGAAAATAAAGTATCTATTTCAATTATTTTTACAAGGTTGATAGAGTGCCTTTTTTTCAGGGAACGGCTTTATTAACAGTTGATCAACGTCGTTGGATGGATTTAAAAGGTCGTATAAAACTTGTACAACCATTACGTACGCCACCTCGGCCAGAAAACAATAAATTTCGTTCCTATGTATTCGATATAACACAAACTAAATTGTTTAAAAAATCTTCTGCTGTACTTGTTCTATTCAATTGTGCATTACTTTACAAGCCATGGAAAGCTAAAGAACGAATCACACAGATATCAGCATTAATATCATCGTTGTTTACATTTTTATTTCTTGTTGAAGCTGTTATGAAATGTATTGCTCTTGGTTTTGCTGGTTATTGGCAATCACGTCGCAATCGTTTCGATTTATTAGTTACTATACTTGGCATTGGTTGGATTGTATTAAATTTTATTTCTATTAGCAAAGCTGAACTAGTAAGAAAAAACAAAACTACATTTTTTATTGATTCAAATGAAATGTAACTTCTTTTCTAGCAAGAATTTAGTAATACGTTTGGATTTACTGTTATCATACTTCGATTTTTTACTATTGCTGGAAAACATGTAAGTAAAACGAACAAAGAAAAGAGACTGACTTGTATACAAATGATCAGTATATAGTTCAAGAATGAAAATGCTGAGATGAAGTTGTTAGTTAAGAGAAGATGGAGATATAAATCTACAAGATCTGAAAATATATTACGCTCATGGAGAGTAAGATAATTTTTCTCACATCTTTAGATCGAAGGATTTTTAAACTGTAAAGTAATTGTTTTTCCTAAATGACTTTAATCTTTAAATATTCTTCTTTTTTTGTTAGTGCTAGGTGTATTATTTTGAATAGATTTTCATTAGATTCATACATCATAATTATATTCACTCTCATATCCAACTAAACTTTGTCCATCGGTTTTATTTGTAGATTTTAAGCTGAAGCGCATGTAAAAACAAGAAAAGAAAGAAACGAAGAATTCACTATTTTATCTATTTTATTGACTAAAAGTTTTCTTCTCGAAAAGAATGTTTAACACATATTTTTGAACTCATTTTATTTTTATTTTATTTTCTTAGGCTACGCTGAAAATGCTAATGTTAACGATTATTGTATCATTCTTTAAATCATTTTTTATTATTCTTGGTATGTTTTTACTTATGTTAGTATACGCCTTTGCTGGCGTTATACTCTTTGGTTGTGTTAAATTTGGGCCTGAACTTGGACGACATGCGAATTTTAAAACAGTACCAAATGCTATCGTTCTACTAATGAGAATTGTTACTGGTGAAGATTGGAATAAAATTATGCATGATTGTATGGTTGTACCACCGCGATGTACACGTGGCGGATCCTATTGGGAAAGTGATTGTGGAAATTCAACAGCATCTATACTTTATTTTTGTTCGTTCTATATTATAATCACTTATATCGTATTGAATCTTCTTGTGGCTATTATTATGGAGAATTTTTCATTGTTCTATTCCAATGAAGAAGATGCATTACTTAGTTATACGGATATTCGACATTTTCAAACAGTTTGGAATATGATTGATACTGGACGGAAAGGTGTTATACCAGCTCGACGTGTCAAATTTTTATTAAGATTGCTGCGAGTAAATATAAACGAACTATTTCATTCTACAGCATACAACCATGTAATGTATTTCATAGGGAAGATTAGAAGTCGATGCAGAAAAACTCTACAAACATATGTGTTATGAAATTGAAAAATTAAATAATGGTAACGATGTAACATTTCATGATGTACTAAAGTAAGTATTAAAATGAACTGTTATTCGTTTTCTGTACTTTTGAAATACAGTTGAAGATTTTGATAGGCATAGCTATTGAAATACATCCTAGCGTAGGCAAACTAAAAATATTACTTTGGAATTTCCAGCCAGAAAAAAAAACTAATTCGTATTTCAGATTTAAATTCTGCAGAGATTGTACTCGTAGAGTTTGTTTTCTTTTATTAGTATGTTGGCTTATCGTTCAGTTGATATTCGTAAATCATTACAATTTGAAGAATTACTTGCTCGTGAAGAACTTGAGTATTTAATTGAAGAAGAAGTAGCGAAACTAACAATACGAAATTGGCTAAATAAATGTTTGAAACGTATCAAAACAAAAGATCAAACAAATGTTATAAAAAACTTACAACGTAGTAATGAATTGGCATTTTTTCGTGAAGCACAAGCCATAACAACTAGTGAATCTTTAAAAAAGACAATAGATAATATAGGCAGTGACGATGAACGGCGAATAAAATCTCTCGATGATCGACAGCAACCAACACAAAAAGATGTTGCCAAAAAGAAACTTGACAGAACAATTACATTACCAACACCTTCAAATGAATTCAGTGTAATTTATTATATCTATTGATTTCCTTTTTTTATTTCATAGCTTTGTTTTTGTTTTCAATTTAGAACTCAAATTATCGAGCACAAGCAAGTGTTCGTGATATATCTACTGAATCTAAAGGAGCAACACGACGACCCGTTCAACAACCGGTACAACAAAATATTAGTTTGAATTTAAGTAGTGAGGAATCTTATCCATGGCGTTCATGGCAAACAAGTAATTTTAATCATGAGCAAAAAGATGTCGCATCATGGTGGGCAAATCAATTTCAAATGTCATCTTAAAAAATAATATATTACTCCGAGTAGATAATATTCAAAATATTACGGTGCTCCTGTATTGTCTTGCATATATATATATACCATACGAGTCCGTAGTATTGTAGTCTTTGTTTGTTTTTTGTTTCCGATGTTTTCTTTAGTTGAATACACATCTATTCTATTTTTGTATAAAAACACAGCAGATATACATATATTAGACATTGTCACATTGTAATATAAAAATAAATTGGTACATTACTATCTTGTCAATGTAATGAGGATTTATACTATTCATATTATTAAATTTGTTCAACTCAACGTATATAACAGTTTCATTAACACGAACTGTTCGATAATTGAATTCAAACCAAAACATGCATATTCGTGTTGTTCGTGACTTTATTTTCAAGCACAAATATATTTCGAACATGAGAACAGAACAAAACTTGGTGCTATTACAATAAAAATGTTCTAAAGCATTATCTGCTATTCTTGCTTGAATTCGACACGTTTCTCTCTTGGCCATTCCATCACAAATTCTAAAGGAAATCGATATTCTCCGCGCGCTTGTAAAACACATTTCCATTCCAAGTTGTTCTTATCGTTCATTGTTACGGTGCAGTTGCGTCCGACTTCTTTTTGTCGTATATCTGGTGTAATCAACTTCACTTTGATCTTCTCATCCGAAGATAGAGGTACTTGTTCATAGACGAACACTGTGGTCTCAGTAGCTTTCGTGTTAACAATATGAGTCTCATGATGAACGGTCTCATGATGAACTTTCGAAATGAAACCTTGCTTGTCGACCATTTTCTTTACTGGTTTGTATTCCACTTTGACACTAGCATCCGTACCAAGCGGTAGATCAAATGTATCACCAATGCAAACATTTTCGATCGAACTGTGTGTAATAAAATTGTTGTCCATGAAGACAGATACTGGTCCAGCTAGAAGTTGTTTATCGGATGTATTTACTGTTGATGCTTTGAGGTAGGCATGAAGTGACAGTTTTGGTACAACAGTATATGTAAACGTTGAGGTGAGATCTAGAACGCCAATAGTGACTTTGTGTGGTTTTCCCTAGAATAAATAAAGAATACATAAGCATCTGATTATCACAACAATGAATACTGACGTCAGAATCGATTGTTGATCGGCGAGGAATGACAAAACTCGTGCTAGACATACTGGCCTCAGTTGTAGATGTGAGAACATTGACTTGAGTCTCAGAAGCTTCATCGTCTTCGTCTGCGTCTTCGATAGTTGGGTCATAGTTAAGAGAGGATTTACCTCGAATCGACATAAATGCACCTTTCGAGCGTTTCTTTTGAACACTGCCACTCTTGTACATAAAAGACTCTTTTGCAAGAGTACAATCATTCATACTCAAATTTTGTAATCTAAAGCCTTGCTTGTGATAAGCCAATGGCGGTGATTTGTAATAATCGATTTTGAGTGTACTTAACTTTGGTGGAGTTCCACCCAAAGATGGTGTTGCGGTAGACAATGAAAAATTTGCATCATACCAGTTTTCCTGGCTTTTGTTTACCTAATTAAGCATCAGACTCACATCTAAACATATTATTTTTTACAATCAATTACTTACAATTATTCCATAATAGGTGAGTTGTGTTCGTTGTCGATTTGCTTCGACACTACTCACTCGAACATCATAGCTAGCAGTCCAGGAACAGTTACCAATCAAATAGGATATTTCGAGTGCCACATCAATGTTACCATCAGCAACATGAACGGTGATCGTCATTTCTCGACAAGTTTTTCGTTGATTCACTTGAGCTGTAGCGCCATGTTGATTGATTTGAGAATTTAAAGCTTCATGGCGATCATTTAATTTCTTGATTTCGTCTTCTTCAAGCGCTGATTGATCATCGAGTTTCAATAGTGTTTTGTGATAGAACTCGAGAAATTGTTGCATATTGTCTAGATCACTACTCGTCATTGGTCCATCTTGATTCATTAATTTGGTAGAGCGTCCATCGAGCCAGGCACGTTGTTTGACGATTCTTGCTAATTCGCGTTTATGTATCTTTATTTCAGTGAGAATATTCTCTAGTTGACTTTGAAGTTGGTCGAGAGATGACAAGTCTGATGGTGGAGTGACCTGTTCATTTCGTGTTTGATACGATACTTCGAGAATGGTGCACGATTTACCTGTTCCCCCACTGACATGCAACGATGTCTCATCTACAAATGTAGAAAACCCATCGAGTACAAGTTCATATGTGCCTGCGTCGTCAAAATGATGTCGTAGAATTCGTGTGACTTCTGCCCGATCGTTGTAGACAGTGACATATTGAATAGGACATTGTTTATCGATATTAAAGCGAACCACTGGTAGCTTTTGCATCATTAATGATGGAACTGATGCGTTTTGTGTTGTTGTTTCTGTCATAGGAAGTTTTGAGGAATGAGTGCGATGTTCTGTTTGCAGCGTAAATATAAGAATTACTCAACGCTTTGCAATTTTTCTCTCGTTTTTGTTAGTCATTTAGAAGAGAGAACGGAAGAATGAAATGAAAAAGAGAAAAAATAGAGCGACCGACATGATGAGTCAGACACTCGTGAAATAGGATGACTAATTCATAGTTTTTGTGGAAAATATGAATCGTAAAAAAACAAAAGCCAAACGACGACGATGATAGAATGTCAATTATTTTTTGTTGCTGCCGTTATGAAATGCAACACAGTGAAACAGTACGTGATAGAACAAATTCTGTAGGCATGTTTGACTCTTCAGGTAACAGAGGAAGTAGGATTTATCTTACAAGCGATGTAGCTAATGGAGAGATTTGAAAAGGCTTTTGTGAGTTATCGTTATAGAAGGAATACTTGATGTTGTCTGTACTTGGAGATATTCATTGATTAGTAATTCATATTGAGAAACGATTACTTTTTCATAAATGATTCTTGTCTCTATTCTTTAGGTATGAAATCGAGAAATGTCCCGTTTTTTATGTCAGGGAAGAACATTTTGAGCAAACCCGCAGAAGCCAATATTTCTGGTACACCAGCTTTCTATCATATTCAAAATTTGATGCCCGCAGTATGTTCAATAAGTCGTATGACAAGATAAATTATTATCAATTTATCTCAAAATCTTTTTTTTTTGCAGACCTAAAATGTGAAGATTATTGTGTATTATTATTACTTACGTTCGTCGCTTTTTTTTTACGTGCTATACTAAAGACGAAAATTAAACTTAATAATAAACGTACCTTTATTTTCTAAAATTTGATAGTCAATGAAGATAATTATCTAATTACTTATTTTATTGCAAGATTTTTATTTCATACCTGAAAATAATAATTACATTAAGAATATTTGTACTTGCAAGCTTATAGTCATGTAACACATTTGTATTCAATTCAGGGAATTTAGGACGCACTATAAGATTATCCAATAGATCAACGAAATCTGATTGCTATTTTCATAATCTTGATTCATTTCTTTCTACTTTTTTTATTGCAAATGATTCACTTGGTTCAAATAAATTCGTTATTCAATGAATAGTGGGACTGAAAGAAATCAGTTAATATTAACCATTAAATGAGTCATTTGATAAACGTTACTTTTTTTTGACACAACAGCTTTTCACCAGCTCCCAATGATTAGGTTTCGATATAGCCTTACATTTCAGTTGGATACACGTGCGTCTGCTTCATTATAATTTTCTTCGTTTTTAAATAATAATAACTATATTTACAATTGTTCAAATATTGTTCTTTATGTGTTTTTTTTTGAAACTCAAAACGAATTTTCTGTTCTGCTATTGATGGTATACTATTTATCATTGTCTCTAGTGCATACCGTATTCCAATTAAAATGATTTACATGGCAAAAATGAATTTTATTTTAAATAGAAGAGCTGCTTTCTTTTAACCCACACGAAAACGGAAATATTTCTACATATATATTTGTTTTCTGTGAGAGAAGTTCTTTTAATTAGTCTTACAAATAAAAGAAACACCGTTACAACCTTGGATTGATGGATTTTATGCCACCTTCTTCAATATCGAATTGCCATTCCTTTTCGTGTTTTTCTACTAAACCTTGATACGGCCATTTCAGTTCTAGAGTATTTCCATCGTTAATATCAGCTTGGATTTTATAGATATGCTTATCTACGATGAGATGTGCATTGGCATAGGCATGTGTTTCAGCAAAGAAGTGACCACCATTGGGCTCTAACTTATTCATACATATTATTGCGTGTTCATGATGTTGATTTTCACCACAGTAGAAGATTTTGAGGTTGATGAAGTGCGATGTACGATTATAAATATGAGCTGAATGGACATAGTATTTTTCTTTTACTGGCATATTGTCTAGTGAAATGGGGTATATGTATTTTGGTATCACGAAGTATGGAAGAAAAAGAAAAGATAATTCCTCAGTGCATAAAAAAACAGAAATATTCATTTATACAACTGTTGCAAGAAGAGAACGAAAAAAGTTCTATTCGGTACGATATTGAGGAAGAAAAAAGAAGTCTCGTTTTCTTCTGTTTTACAATAAATGAGATGAAAGAAAAATCTCTTTACGTTGTAGACGTATGCAAGCATATGAAAGACAAATAATGGCATCCTAAATAGAAACGAACTAGCTATAAGATTTGCTTTTAAAATAAAAATTGATCCACAGCATTGTACTAACTAGAAAACAAAAGATCGCTGATAAAATTGACATGTATTATAGTAATCAGTTGAAATTATACTACAGATCGATTACCCATATGCAAACAAAGCCAATATCTAGCGAGAACATGATCAACGGACATTTTCACACAAGAAGTCTAATAAACATCATGCGATCGATTTGAAAAGTGAAATGATCGGAGTTAACAAGTTTATATGTCCCATAGAATTCAGTAAGAATGAGATTTTTGTTAGTCAACTGCATTTTATTTTAAAATTGGCAATAGTATTGCCTCGAAATTATTGATGTAGTGGTGATTTTTCGATCCAACGTAGTTTAATTTATAGAACAACACAAAACGCATTTGGCTAAAATTGAATGACAATCAGCTTCACTTGTAGATTAAGCATAATTCAACTTTGTTCCTAAGAGTATTTTGTCTGAAGATTGCGGCGTAAGAAGTCACAAATAAATTGGGCTTCGGGCCTAGATAATCATAAACTTGAACATATTGTTTCCATAGCGACTATAACAATTGATACAAGTTTAGACGGGAAAAGCTCACATTATTTGATTCTATATACAATAATATTTTGAGAATGAACTTCTTCGCTCGCCAAATGGGTATTTTATTTAACATCCCATATGTTTCATTACGATGAAACTGCGGCGTAGTTACGGCGTAACTGCGATCGCACTGTGACCCGTAATTACGGAAAATTACGACATAATTACGCGTAATTGAGTCGCATTTTTTTGCAATTACGGGCCAGAATGTGATCATTTTTGCGGCAGAAATGAATCGCGATTGCTACATGAGATGATACAGATTAGGTTTTATTTTCATTTTTATTTTTATTATGAGTTAAAAGAAAATTTTTTAAGCACAGAAAAGAAAAGACTTAAAACTACTATAAAATTAAAACTTTTATAAAATATTAAAAACAAAAGTTTGAGCAATAAAACAATTACTAAAAAATTAAAAGTTAAAAAGTATTTTAAAATATAAAATAATTAAGGAAAATAATAAATAGGTATCTGTAAAAATCAAAAAATTAACATTTAAAAAATTATTTACAATTTAATAAACAAAAGAAAAAAACTTAGAGTAGAAAAATTTTTTAAATAAAAAACCTAAGAAAAGCTCTAGAAATTTTTTTAAAATTAAAAAATTAAAAAAATATTAATAATAATTAAATGAGGAAAATATTTAAATATTTTTCGGAACAAGTATTCTAATGTTTATAGTAGAATGTGTTTATGAACCGAACTTTCGATGAACAGTGCTTTTTATAGTAACTTTCTATGACTAATTTTTAGTGTTCGAGAGTGGCCAATTAAAAATAAGGAATTATTTATAATTGGCCAGTTACAGTTACAACGGATCGTATGATGCGATCACTAGAACGCAGTTACGCTGACCTGGGTCGCATTAGGCGTAGTATTTAAGAAAAGTCTTCACTGCGGCTCAGTTGGTAAAAAAGAGGCGGCATGGGATTGCAGAAAAAATATTGTAAGTTACTTTTGTTTCAGTAAATTTCAGGATACGAGAGTTGAACAAGGATTATTTAAGTAAAAGAATAAGAAATACAATATCAGCGAATGAAATTTGCATATCATTCCTCTAATTTTTTGATCTCCATCTCCTACAAGCATCTGAAAGCAATGCTTGCCGCAAGAAGCAAAATATTTACGTTGTGACCAGAAGTTCACAAATAAAACATGAACAATACGTTGATACTGGTAAAAAAAACAGTATCAATATTTTTAACCGAAGAATTGTAAGGAAAATCCATCATAGAACAGCGAGATCAGATGAAAGCCTCTTAAAACGAAAATTACAGAGGTTCAAATAACTATTGTATGTAGCATTTATACTATGCATATATTGTATGAAAGAAATAGAATGAAAGATTTTTCTACGCTACTAATGCCAATAACGATTTCTGCTATCTCATCTAAAAGGCGTTGACATTGTATATAAGCCAAATGACACATAACCAGTCAACAGGGAAAATATTATGGAATTCTCAATAACAGTGTAACCATGATATCTCCATTGGGAATTCTATACTAATTAGTTAGTTTCATATAATTTGTGTTTTGACCTATTTTGTTTTCGATGACAGAAAATAAGAAAACGTTGTTGACGTAAAGGATATACTTAAACTGTGCATGGAGATGGTATGTATAAAGCCTCGCATGCTATGCAGAAACTTGCATCAGTTATTTAATATAACCATTTCTGATAAATACTGACACGCCGACGAAACATGTTTTATTCTGTTTTACTACTGCTGGTATTATCCTTCTTAGGCCGAGTGAATAGCCGAAAAATCGATGCCTATGGTAAGTTACAGTATTTATAATTAAAGAAGGAGACAAACGTTTTGATATCTCATTGAAAAAATGTTTTTTCTTCCATTATTGAAAATCAAAAAATTCCCAACATTTAACACGCAGTGTCTTGTAAAACAGTGAATAGTATCTTAAATTTGTGTAACTCTAGGATTAGTCATAGACGAAATATATAAATTCGAACTATGGAAAAGATTTTCTCCGAATGACGAAATAAACATTTAGATGAGAGTCAGAGAGTAGAGGAAAATGAAAACATCAAAATAAAGGAATATTATGAAGATTAATACTAAACAGAATTATATTGAGAAATCATCAGATGGCTATCGTATATTTCTTTAAATCAAAAGTATTACACTTCATAAGGGGTAAATTTGAACTTCATATGATTGCACAGACGGTGATTTTCAACTGGCCTGTATTCTCGAGTTAGATGTGATGAAAAAAACAAGCGTTTATATCAGTCATTTCAAAAATATAAAGATCAATGAAATAGTACAAGGTTAATACAAAGAAAATTTGATTTGCTACGTAAAAAAAAATTAATGCTAAGAAAATATCAAATGTTGTTTAAAACTCAATTTTGATCCCTTTGAATTTTTATAATCATTGAATAAAAATATCGCTGTGATACTTGGAATCCATTTAATTCTATAAAGATGTCTTTATTCGTGACCGACATGCAAACAACCGGTTCCGCAACTCAAGCATTGAAGATAGTGAAGTACAACAACTGTATCATCGTATCCGCCGTAACACAGGTGAGAAATAGAACTAGGTTAGATGAGAACTGTTTGTATGGTCAAGGAGTGAAAGCATAGAATATAACCAGGAGAACTTTATGATTTTCTAGTAAAAATTATAAGAAAATTGTTTTTCTTGACATAACAAATGCTAATTACAATGAGATAAAATGCAGATCAAGATTATTGTTTTCAAAACAATTATAGAAAAAATAAAGTCAATCTATGCACGTTTGAGACACATTTTACCTTTTGTTTCGTTTCAAAAGCAATGCAAGTACGAGAAATCTTTTGATTAACATGTATAGCTTGGGTTCTAGTCTGAATTGAGTTTCTATTCTCGATTTAGTTGGTTGGCAGCAGTTGAAGATTAGCTGAGGAAGTGCAACTTTTCTTAAGGAGATAAACATTTAAGATAGTTTTGATATTCGACAAGTCTTGCTGCTATAAGGTATACCTGGCTCGATTTTCGCTTAAAAACTTATACTGTGTATAATAAGCTAAGTGTACGTAGGTTTTATGATCATTGATCACAAATCGAAAGAGATGATCCCACATAATATACTGCTTCTAAATACATCATTAGCAAAAGTGTTGAAAATTGAGTAAAACAACTCGAGTTCGAAGGTTTATAAACAATCATTATGTTGCAAGTAATACTGTATACATCATTAAGAAAGCTTGAACTCTAAAATGAGACGTGGTAGCTTTTACGAACTTTTCTACAAGGAGTCATTTATGAGACTTTATGCTTGGAACATACTTGAGTGACGACATGTAATAATTCTTGAAGATCACTGCTTAATTCAGTTGGAGAAAAAGTGTTCTATGTTTTCAATAG